CTCAGTCGGCTCTTAATGACATAAAATGAGCAAAAAGAAAAAGATGCTTCCCCGCCCCCACTTCAGCCTCGTATAAAGATCACAAAGAGGCCTCAGAGAGGCGTCAGACCTGTGTATAAGTTATTGCACTAGATCTGAAAGACTAATGAAAACATCGTCTTAACAATAAAGGAGAGCAATAAAACTTTCTTGAAGAAATTTATTAAGCTAGCGTTAGTCCTAAAATAAATTCTTGGGGTCAGTCTACAAACCTAACCAACGAATTAGTGCTGACATAGTCTTTGAAACTGACCTCATCAACAAAAATTTTTTGCGTGTTGATATTTTCACAATATTGTTTATGAAGCAATTTCACCGTGCTGCAGTGTTTTTGCCCAGATACCAGCTGTCTATCAAAACTGTTTTTTTAAACCCCTTATACATAAAAACTAAAATTCAAACGTAACGGTAAAATCGTCATATTATGTTATAATTTAATTTGAAGTTTTAATGTATGTGGAATTAAAATTGCATTCAACAGTCTAATGTGTCAAAATTGGACAAGAAATGTTATTGAACGAATTTTTAGACAGAAATGAATGGCCTTTGAAGACAATGAAATATTATTGTCATTTAAATATATAGTTCTATTGTCCATTTACTGAATGCGACGCGGCTTTGCAATTATTCCTAAATATGACATGATTTATAAAGACTTACTTTCCTAGGAAACAACTCCAATTTATAACATAACAACAGGTGATTTTAATCATTTTGCAATGATAACTGCGTTCAATCAAGGATTTAAAACTAACATTCCACTGCCTGCTGCAGCACAGTAGTCTGAAAAACGATAAAGTACGCCGACGTATTAAACGTCTGACGACTTTAACGTCTTCTGTTAAGTGCGCCGTTCAGACACGCTTAACAGACGACTTTTTAAGACAGAGTTAAATGACTCTAGTATGAAAAAGGGGATGCCATAACTAAGACGCAACTCGCCCAGAAACGAAAGTGAAGAGTCAGCGTTTTGTCATTTTTTGGAACGTTTACTTACGACTTTAACGTCTCTAACATAATAACGGCCAATGAGTGGCATTTCAAGACAAATGAAATGTAACTATTTGTATTACATAGTAAATTGTATGAATTTTTAAACAGTATAATTTGTCTAAATATTATAAAAAATGATGTTCAATAGATCTTTTGTGTACTTCAATGCTGAAAGCAAATGCGTTTCTTAAGTAGTGATGATTCCATTCATCCTGAAGTGATAATTACGCAAAAGTCTCCAAACCAATTAAGTTTGAATGGAAGTGTTAGTGGTAATTGCCTTCTGCTATTAACCAATACACTGATTAATTTCCTCCGTTTATCTCCTCGATGATTGGCTGGTCTTTACTGATAGTGAGGGTATTTAAGGGCGAATTGGAATTCCTCTTGGAATAGAGCATTGTGGATCGGATCAGCGCGTATCTGAAGTCAGGGTGAGTATACTTTGCCTTATCATGGTACATTTTTATTTCATTCAGCGCCTCTGTCTTCGAAAAGGATTGAGTCTTAATAAGCTGTCCTCTCGGTTTTGGATAGTGAGTCACAAACAACAAGATAAATTTTGATAACTAGGAGAAGTTATCATCATTTATTATATTGCTAAATCCGCAATCAGGCAATGCTTTTGCCCGATTGCACAGGGATTTCTTGTGTTGGTTCCGCAACTAAAAGCTCTCTTTTTCGCGCTATATAATAAATCATTTATTGGCCAAGCTTGTTCGGTCAAGATGGCTTCATATTTTCCCGTTTTTTTTTTTCCTTGTTATTGACCTTGACTTCGACTCGGTCCATAAAAACGCAAAAAGAAGCAAGGCCAAAATCCGGGCATCTTGACCTCTCGTTTGTCCAATAACGCATATTTACTGATTACTTGAGCACGAAACAGGAACGATTTATTATTATTATTACAGGAGGGAACTTTTTAATGAAAGTTAGGCCTAAGTGAAGAAACGTTTTAACTTGTCTACTCTAAATTTCGTCCTTCGGTACCTCTATGGTGAATCCAATCTATGGTAATGGTATTTTCTCCTCTTGGCATTGCTCAAAAACCTCTGGGACAAGAAATTAAGCCAAATATATTAATTGCCATTTTTATCTTTTTCAGTTTAATTCAAGGGACAAAGTCGGACAATGAAGTCTTTCACGTTCACCTTGTTATTGGCTGTTATTTCTGTGGCTATAGCAACTGGTAAGTTTAATCTTAGATCGCCATAGTAGACCCCTTTCTCTGCATGTTTTGTTCCCTTAGATAAAAATAAAGAGAGCCAAGGAACCTTGAACCCCGTTTATTCGTTCTCTGCTTAATTACTACACTACGGACTGTATGAAACTACGAGAATTGTCAGTGTGTAACGTGAAGTAGTAAGAGCGAAACATTTCGTGTAGACTTACATCACGGGTTATGAATAAAGGAGTACAAGACTGTGTGCTTTCTTTCATGCTAGGTTCAGTTGTAGTTCCGCTAATT